TTTATGAATGGGTAATCATGAATCACTGACTCACTAGATTCGTTTAAAAATCCCGTTCATTCATAAACGAAACACCGCTGTGTTTGAATGGAGATGCGCTGTGTCTGTGTTTTAAACTATTTTCGACGACTCCCTTAAAAATCATTAAAAGCTGTCACTCATCTTAGTTCATTGCGAGCTCACATTTATAATCAACGAAGCTCTCTACACTGCGCAATGAATCTCTTATTTACACCCTGTCTACACTTTGCTTATGAAAGGATTCGTGAGATATGTCTGTGATACATTACTCAACGCTGCAAAAACACGTAGAAACCTTTGAAGCTCCCCTGAGCGCAATCACAAGTATGATGATGATCGGGTCAGTCGCACTGGTGCTCCTAAACATGTTTTCATAGTCGCACGCAGTAGTTTTCAGTCGCAAATGCGACTGAAATGGTCGCACTGTCGAGCCCTGTTAGTTCATCCCGAACTCACAAAGTTCCATTATAATCAATGCATCTCTTATTTCCGTCGTGTCTACACTTTGTTTGTTATAAGGAGAGGATTCGCGAGATTGCATAACTCCGCACTGAACAAAACTCTGAGCAGTGAGTGGATTCTGATTAACATTGTGTCACTTAAATTCATAAATTCATGTTGAGAATATTTGCAAAGAAGTATGTGCATTTCTCAAAACAATTTGTACAGACAGCACCACACTATGATTACCTGCAAAAGCCTGTAACTTACTCAAAATCTTTAGTTCATCTCTCAAAAGTAAGTATTTATGTCAGTGAACACATCAGTGCCATCAGAATGAAAAGTCCTTGTGTCATTGTTCACAAACACAAGATGCTTAGTCATGTTAGTCTGTTAGTATTATGTGATGTAAACTATGGCAACAGTTTGGATGATGTATAGCACCTCAATACCATGGCAAATATATAACTGGTTTTTGGGCCTTTTTGTATGAAAAACAGTTATGATCATTACAGTGATTTACAGTCATGACAACGAAGACACAAGCAATGCTCTTTTTAGTGTGAGTGTGTTCTTGTTACTGTAGTGCTGTTGTGTTTGTGTTCAGACTCCAGGAAATAACACACAAACACCAGCAGCTGATTATATTTATCATCACATGCTCATCTTCTTGTCTTCTGTTGGGTTCACATCAGATGATGAAATAAAGATTAGCTGATTTATCACAAACGGCTGGTTGTTTGTTGTTGTTGTGCAGAGGATGTTAGTGATGAAGGCGAGGAGGAGCGCGAGTGCATTTCCTACAGCGTCAGCATCGACATCCATTACGGGCTCAAATCAAACAGGTAACGAGCTCAGACCGTGAGCTGATTATTCTGATCTGCAAACTGATATTTCCTACTGACACACTACAGCAAAAGATAGAAATAAGTGACTTAGCTGCTGGAAATACTAGCGTTCTAATGATTTCTGCCAGCACTGTATGTGAAGTGTTCTGATGAGAACCGTGATCTTTCAGCCTGGCCCTGATCAAGCGGACCGGAGTGATTGATGCGGACAAACCCATCTCCACTCAGGTGCGAGTGCTGACTCTGAGCGAAGACTCTCCGTACGAGACGCTGCACTCCTTCATCAGCAATGCTGTGTCTCCGTACTTCAAATCCTACATCCGAGAGTCTGGCAAAGCCGACAGGTAACGAGAGCGTAACATGTCTCATCCTCACACACACACACACACACACACACAAGCCGTGCCTCATCGTTTACAGTTTTTCTCAGTCGCTTTGGTGCATTTCTCGAATCATCCTTAATATTTGCAAAGAAGTATGTGCATTTCTCAAAACAATTTGTACAGACAGCACCACACTATGATTACCTGCAAAAGCCTGTAACTTACTCAAAATCTTTAGTTCATCTCTCAAAAGTAAGTATTTATGTCAGTGAACACATCAGTGCCATCAGAATGAAAAGTCCTTGTGTCATTGTTCACAAACACAAGATGCTTAGTCATGTTAGTCTGTTAGTATTATGTGATGTAAACTATGGCAACAGTTTGGATGATGTATAGCACCTCAATACCATGGCAAATATATAACTGGTTTTTGGGCCTTTTTGTATGAAAAACAGTTATGATCATTACAGTGATTTACAGTCATGACAACGAAGACACAAGCAATGCTCTTTTTAGTGTGAGTGTGTTCTTGTTACTGTAGTGCTGTTGTGTTTGTGTTCAGACTCCAGGAAATAACACACAAACACCAGCAGCTGATTATATTTATCATCACATGCTCATCTTCTTGTCTTCTGTTGGGTTCACATCAGATGATGAAATAAAGATTAGCTGATTTATCACAAACGGCTGGTTGTTTGTTGTTGTTGTGCAGAGGATGTTAGTGATGAAGGCGAGGAGGAGCGCGAGTGCATTTCCTACAGCGTCAGCATCGACATCCATTACGGGCTCAAATCAAACAGGTAACGAGCTCAGACCGTGAGCTGATTATTCTGATCTGCAAACTGATATTTCCTACTGACACACTACAGCAAAAGATAGAAATAAGTGACTTAGCTGCTGGAAATACTAGCGTTCTAATGATTTCTGCCAGCACTGTATGTGAAGTGTTCTGATGAGAACCGTGATCTTTCAGCCTGGCCCTGATCAAGCGGACCGGAGTGATTGATGCGGACAAACCCATCTCCACTCAGGTGCGAGTGCTGACTCTGAGCGAAGACTCTCCGTACGAGACGCTGCACTCATTCATCAGCAATGCTGTGTCCTACTGACACACTACAGCAAAAGATAGAAATAAGTGACTTAGCTGCTGGAAATACTAGCGTTCTAATGATTTCTGCCAGCACTGTATGTGAAGTGTTCTGATGAGAACCGTGATCTTTCAGCCTGGCCCTGATCAAGCGGACCGGAGTGATTGATGCGGACAAACCCATCTCCACTCAGGTGCGAGTGCTGACTCTGAGCGAAGACTCTCCGTACGAGACGCTGCACTCCTTCATCAGCAATGCTGTGTCTCCGTACTTCAAATCCTACATCCGAGAGTCTGGCAAAGCCGACAGGTAACGAGAGCGTAACATGTCTCATCCTCACACACACACACACACACACACACAAGCCGTGCCTCATCGTGTCTGTGTGTCTGCGCAGGGATGGCGATAAGATGGCCCCTTCGGTGGAGAAGAAGATCGCGGAGCTGGAGATGGGCTTACTGCACCTGCAGCAGAACATCGAGATCCCCGAGATCAGCCTGCTCATCCACCCCATCATCACCAACGTGGCCAAGCAGTGCTACGAGCGCGCAGAGAAGCCCAAGGTCACAGACTTCGGGGATAAAGTAGAGGATCCCAGCTTCCTGAACCAGCTGCAGTCTGGAGTCAACCGCTGGATCCGGGAGATACAGAAGGTTTGAGACTCGCTGACCTTCAGATGACCCCGTACTGTTACATAGTGCTGGGCGATATGGCCAAAAATTAACATCTCAGTTTTTTCAGAACATTTGACAGTCGATTTTTAACTAGTCAACTTGAAAATGTAACTACAACATGATTCAAGTAGCTTTTTATCTCATTATCTTCGCATTGTCTCGTAGAAGCGCCTAGACAACACTGAGAAATGCATGTTTTAGCTAGTTTACACAAGCTGCTGCTTTATATCAGAAAATGAAATTAATGTAGCATCAGTGACGTGTCGTGTGAACAAGAACCGTGTTGTTTTGTTGTTTAATGTGTTGGTGCAGCTCTACAAAAACACTGATATGGTTTGCTGATAGTTCCAGCTTTCACCACAAAAGGGCCACACAATATGGAGGAAAACATGATTCGCAAGCTTAAGAATTAATGCATCAAATCACTTTTCAGTTTAATTTAAAGCATAGTTTTTTCTGGGTGAAGAAACCCACAGATCTGTTGCTGAGGTGGTCTTTTACAGCGTTAATGACAGTCAAATGGAAATCTAAACAAAGGCTTAATGAGCAGCTTACACATGAGAACGACATGCAGAAACATTACATTGCAATATTGGGAGATATAGAGTGATAACTGACACCTTTATCATTTTATGCAAGTAGTCTGCTATTAATGATGAACTGCTTTTAACTGAAAATTGAGTGTTTACTATTGTCCTTTAGCATTATTGACACTATTTTCCTATTTAATGCTGTAAAGCTGCTTTGACACAATCTGTATTGTTAAAAGCGCTATATAAATAAAGGTGACTTGACTTGACTATTATAAATGCTGTTAAGAAGATTTCATCTTTCTTTTTGGCTATATGTGACTGGAGCACAAAACCAGTCATAAGGGTCAATTTTGTGAAATTGAGATTTATACACAATCTGAAAGCTGAATAAATAATCTTTCATTGATGTATGGTTTGTTAGGATAGGACAATATTTGAAAATCTGGAATCTGAGGGTGCAAAAAAATCTAAATATTGAGAAAATCATCTTTAAAGTTGTTCAAATGAAGTTCTTAGCAATGCATATTACTAATCAAACATTAAGTTTTGATATATTTACAGTAGGAAACTTACAAAATATCTTCATGGAACATGATCTTTACTTAATATCCTAATGATTTTTGGCATAAAAGAAAAATGTATAATTTTGACCCATACAATGTATTGTTGGCTATTGCTACAAATATACCCCAGCGACTTAACACTGCTTTTGTGCTGCAGAGACACATAAATATCAGCATCTCCACCAAATTGCGTATTTTTGCTTATTTTGAAAATTGAGCTGTTTTTTTCTCCATATTATCAGACTGTGTGAGCCATAAAAGCCTGATGCAGCAAATATGATACAAAACATAAAACGCATGCATGTCTTATTTCTATTTTCATTTAGATTTTGTCTAAAGGTTCGATGAATTGTTCCATTTCAAAAAATTAGATTTCTTAGCCCTGATGATTATCTTACGGTGTCAAGCTCATTTGCAGTGTTTTTTACTGGTATATCTGACGCAGGCCTACAGTGGATCAGGATTTCAGGTCTGTCTGCCGTTTCTTTCAGGTGACTAAACTGGACCGAGACCCTGCGTCTGGAACGGCTCTGCAGGAGATCAGCTTCTGGCTGAACCTGGAGCGAGCCCTGAACCGCATCCAGGAGAAGAGGGAGAGTCCGGAGGTGCTGCTGACGCTCGACATCCTCAAACACGGCAAACGCTTCCACGCCACGGTCAGCTTCGACACCGACACAGGTGAGCCGTCTGTCCGAGAGCCATCTCCATGATGCTGCACGCTTGTGAACGCTCTGCTGTGTTTCTCTCAGGCCTGAAGCAGGCTGTGGAGACGGTGAACGACTACAACCCTCTGATGAAGGACTTTCCCCTCAACGATCTCCTGTCGGCCACTGAGCTCGACAAGATCCGTCAGGCGCTGGTGGCCATCTTCACTCACCTGCGCAAGATCCGGAACACCAAGTACCCCATCCAGCGTGCGCTGCGTCTGGTGGAGGCCATCTCCAGAGACCTGAGCTCTCAGCTGCTCAAAGTGCTGGGCACTCGCAAGCTCATGCATGTGGCGTACGAGGAATTTGAGAAGGTACGGCTGATGAGACGGCACTCGCTCTCCCCGCAGTGATGCTCTGCAGTTCACGCCTCACGCTCTTCTTCCTCCGCAGGTGATGGTGGCGTGTTTCGAGGTCTTCCAGACGTGGGAGGACGAGTACGAGAAGCTGCAGGTGCTCCTGAGGGACATTGTGAAGAGGAAGAGGGAGGAGAATCTGAAGATGGTGTGGCGTCTCAGTCCGGCCCACCGGAAGCTCCAGGCCCGCTTGGACCACATGCGGCGATTCAGACGGCAACACGAGCAGCTGAGAGCCGTCATCGTTCGCGTGCTCAGACCTCAGGTATGACTCTGACGGCTTCTGGATGTGATTATTTTGATGCTGTGAAGTTCTGATCTGTCATTCTGTTGACCAATCAAAGATTAAGTGTTTCCTGACAAGCCTCAGATTGACAACAGACAGGACTGACATGACATGGTCTATCATGACGTTTTAGTTCATATTAATATGTGACCTTAGACCACAAAACCAATCATAAGGGTAAATTTTTTTTGAAACTGAGATTTATACACAATCTGAAAGCTGAATATATAATCTTTCCATTGATGTATGGTTTGTTAGGATAGGACAATATTTGGCTGAGATACAACTATTTGAAAATCTGGAATCTGAGGGTGCAAAAAAGTCTAAATATTGAGAAAATCATCTTTAAAGTTGTCCAAATGAAGTTCTTAGCAATGCATATTACTAATCAAAAATTAAGTTTTGATATATTTACGGTAGGAAACTTACAAAATATCTTCATGGAACATGATCTTTACTTAATATACTAATGATTTTTGGCATAAAAGAAAAATGTATAATTTTGACCCATACAATGTATTGTTGGCTATTGCTACAAATATACCTGTGCTGCTTATGACTGCTTTTGTGCTGCAGGGTCACAAATATGATCAGTACCAGCTAGAGACGTGAACAGAAGAGACAAACCTCAAATTTGGATTTAAGAGTCTTTAAAGCTACATTCACACTGTCAGTCCAAATCTGGTTATTTGTGCATCCTGTTGGAAATTTAAGTGATTGACAGCAACTCTTCAGATCCAGTTTACAATATCTTCATTGATTTCTGTGGCATTGATGTTGCATTGGTATGCTGACATGAAAAAAAAAAAACATGTACAGAGTTTGCGTTACAGATGTTCTTACAACATAACGACATGTTGTCTTTGCGCTTTATTATTACGACTTATGAGGCACAGAATTTAAATTTCAAACCATATATGAATGTATCTTGAAACATATTTGTAAAAATTGTATTTCATGTGTTTTTTTGTCATTCGTACTTGTCAAATATAACCAGATTCCAATTGTACATGCACAAAAATCAGCTTGAGTTGTGTCAAGAGTGTAGAAGGCTGGATATATATGTAAGGGATAATGTACATCCAGCTAAATATCTAATCAGAAATATCTAAACGCAAAGCTTCCGTGAAGAAGGCGGTTGTTAGCAAGCGGCAAGTTCAAACTAGACAGACATTATGAGATAAGTCATACTACTTATTACACGGCATTTCACCACATAAACAATTATGGCGATAAAAGATATTGATTTAAGATGAAACTTTTCAAAATCCGACCAGTTTGTTAGTTATTTAATATCCGTTACAGTGTACAAAACAATTGTCGCAAAATGGCAGCAGCTGCGTTTGTATGAAAGAGAAAGAGCGAGTCCGTGATACCAGGATGACATAATTACATAATTAGGTTGGCTTGAGATCTGCTACTTAAGATTTTTATTGTTATTCTTCTTGGACTAAATTTCTGAACGCTACTCCTCCTAGAGTATTATTTATTATTATTAGCAACATGTTAGAAACATGCTAGTGACATGTTAGTCATTTGCTAATCATGCTAACGACATGCTAGTCACTTAGCAACATGCTAGTAACATGCTAATCATGCTAAAAACATGCTAATCATGCTAGAAACATGTTATCAACTTTTATCTAATCTATCTAAATTTTCAAACTTCAGGCTTTTACAACTGCTTTAAACTTTCAGGCTAGGCTTTCTCAAGCCAACCTGAAGTTTGTCTTGACAAACTTTTTTTTTATCTAGTTGTACACATAATATTGAATTGAGTTCTAATATTTTATTATTAGCCAACCAAACATAAAGCTTCCAAGTGGATAGCGCCGACTGCAGTTACCCGGATGAGCCTGTGATATTTACCCTGTTGTTGTTATCAATAACAACTTGGAATGTGGTGACTGACCAATCAGATTCGAGTATTCCACAGAGCTGTGTAGCGCAAAAGCTAATAAAGTGTTTGCCTCTCTCCAGGTGTCCGCCGTGTCCCAGCATGCTCAGGGAAAGACGGCCGAGCCCGACGATATGAAGGTGGCCGAGGTGCTCTTCGATGCCGCAGACGTCAACGCCATCGAGGAAGTCAATCTGGCCTATGAAAACGTGAAGGAAGTGGACGGACTGGACGTCTCGAAGGAGGGAGTGGAGGCCTGGGAAGCGGCCATGAAGCGCTACGACGAGCGCATCGACCGCGTGGAGACACGCATCACGGCACGCCTGCGAGACCAGCTGGGCACCGCCAAGAACGCCAACGAGATGTTCCGCATCTTCTCCCGCTTCAACGCCCTGTTCGTGCGGCCGCACATCCGCGGAGCCATCCGAGAGTACCAGACGCAGCTCATCCAGCGCGTCAAAGACGACATCGAGGCTCTGCACGACAAGTTCAAGGTGCAGTATCCTCAGAGCCAGTCGTGCAAGATGAGCCACGTGCGAGACCTGCCTCCCGTCTCCGGCTCCATCATCTGGGCCAAGCAGATCGACCGGCAGCTGACGGCCTACATGAAGCGCGTGGAAGACGTCCTCGGGAAGGGCTGGGAAAACCACGTGGAGGGTCTGAAGCTCAAGCAGGACGGCGACAGCTTCCGCGCCAAGCTCAACACGCAGGAGATCTTCGACGACTGGGCAAGGAAGGTGCAGCAGCGCAACCTAGGCGTGTCGGGCCGCATCTTCACCATCGAGAACACGCGCGCCCGCGGACGCACCGGCACCGTGCTCAAGCTCAAGGTCAACTTCCTGCCCGAGATCATCACGCTCTCCAAAGAGGTGCGCAACCTGAAGTGGCTGAGCTTCCGCGTGCCGCTGGCCATCGTCAACAAAGCCCATCAGGCCAATCAGCTGTATCCCTTCGCCATCTCGCTCATCGAGAGCGTCCGCACCTACGAGCGCACCTGCGAGAAGGTGGAGGAGAGGATGTCCATCTCGCTGCTGGTGGCCGGCCTGAAGAAGGAGGTGCAGGCGCTCGTCACCGAGGGCATCTCTCTGGTCTGGGAGTCCTACAAACTCGACCCGTACGTCCAGCGTCTGGCCGAAACCGTCTTCAACTTCCAAGAAAAGGTTGACCAGCTCAAGACCAGTTAAACTAGAGCACCAGTCAGATGACTGGACTCACACACATTCTTTATTAAAGCAATAAGCCCCGTGAAGCCGTGGTTTACAGTGAATTCACGGCTTCACAGGGCTTACTGCTTTTATAAAATGGTTATTCCATATACGTAGTAAGGTTCCACAGAATAAACCGTTTTCTTCCACCAAACAATGTAGCTCCTCAGAAACAGTTGTGGTTGCAACAAAGTGGTTGCCGAGCAACACGCAAACGTAAACAAAGGTGTATGTTACTTTGTAGAGTCATTTACAACAGCTTCGAACGAGGCTCAGCCAATCAGAATCAAGGACCGGAACTATCAGTTTTATAATATTAGGGCTCTATGATTTCCGCAATGCGAAAACATGGACGGAATCGCGGAATCCAGTCATAAAAACGGAATTTACAGTTATATCACAGAATTTGTCAAAGTTTGGATGAATTAATCAAAAGTACGTCATTACACTTCAATTAAATCATGATATGGACTAGTATCTGTAAAAATTACAGCATGTCTGTGTGTGAATGAATAGCGCACACGCGCGGTTTCGTTTACTACACATGTACTGAAGCGTGTGTGACGCTCGCGGTGATTTCAGCGGCACTAAATGAGGCCATAAATACATGAACAACATCTCCAGAACTGCTCTGAGAGTCACTTCATGAGTATTTGACCGTTTCATTTGAGTAAAACTATCCTCATATCATATACGCAGAAATGTAAAAGTATGCAACCCATTAAAATAAAAGTTTGGTTTAACTTAAACATTGTGGTAGAAATATATTACTATAATTCAGTAGAATGCAAGTAATACTGCTACTGCTACTACTGTTGAAAAATTAATAAAACTTAATTTTTTAAGGAATCACACGATATTTCTTCCATGTTTTAATTTGACTAGAAAATCCCATTTATTGGCCAAAAAATTAAATTTGCTTCATGCCTTCATTTGATAACCAGAAAAATGTAAATAAACGGCACAGAATTTCATAAGGCTATTGTAAGAATAAATAAAAAAAATTTTTATGCATTCAAATAATTAGACGTGCTAAAGCAGAATTTGGTAACAACCATAAGGTGTGAAAACATAAAACATTTCGTAGGGCCCTACACATGTAATTTTTGATAAGCTTTTAATAAACTGATGTTAATTTATTAACTAAAATCATGAAACGTATATTAGACATGCAATTAATAAAATTCAATTTAACCACTAGAAAAGAGTCCAGAAAAATTTAAACGGAAAAAAATAAATTTGGGAAAAAATAAAACCGATTTCATAGGGTCCTATATTACTTGCATTATTGAACAATAGTCATCAAAACGGTCGGAATTTTCTTGTTACTTACTAAAAGAAATTGAACAAGCTTTGGATAGACAGATTTTCACGAGTAGGGCTGCACGATAATGTTTAAACGGTTAATCATGATTATTGTCATGCTCATTTTTGTACATTTCTTCAGAATTTTTTATGCTTGTTTGATTCACCAGCTTGCAGTGTTTTTGTCGTAACTTAAATCAGTTTGCAGTGGCTGGGAGCAGAACGCTTACCAGTAACTGATAATGACAGAAGCTACTGATAAAAGCTTAATTGGAACTAATAATCGGTGTCAGCCCATCGAAATGGTTAAGAAACATAAATTCAGTGGTGTGTGTCCATGATTTGGTTGGTAGTGTAGATGTGTTGTTTACAGTCCGGATGAAAAGAGATGTGAATGTCATGTTGGTTTGTGTGTATTCCGCTCTTAGGTGGATGATCTTCTTCTGCTCGAGGAGAAGATTGATCTGGAGGTGCGCTCGCTGGAAACCTGCATGTACGAGAATAAGATGTTCACGGAGATCCTCAACCGCATCCAGAAGGCTGTGGACGACCTGAACCTGCACTCGTACTCCAACCTGCCCATCTGGGTCAATAAACTGGACATCGAGGTGAGTCCAGCTGGACAGAAGCACAGAGTCTGTCCGGAGAGAGTGGTGTTTGATCAGATGTGATCGTGTTTCCTCCGTAGATCGAGCGCATCCTCGGGGTGCGTCTGCAGGCCGGACTCAAAGCCTGGACGCAGGTTCTCATGGGACAGATGGAGGACAAGGCTGATGTGGACATGGACACCGAGGCTCCTCAAGTCAGTCACAAGCCCGGAGGAGATCCCAAGATTAAGGCAAGACGTCGTCCTGTAGTTCTGAGCCTGTGTGCATTGAGGATTCGTAACTTCACACTGAAACGTTTTCTTCGTCCAAACAGAATGTCATCCATGAATTGAGGATCACGAACCAGGTGATCTATCTGAACCCGCCGATCGAAGACTGCCGCTACAGGCTTTACCAGGAGATGTTTGCTTGGAAGATGGTCATTCTGTCTCTACCCAGAATCCAGAGTCAGAGATATCAGGTCTGTGTTTGTGTTTGCTCTGCGTTCGTCTTCAGTTTTCAGCTCCTTTAAAGGGACCGTTCACCCAAAAATGATCATTCTGCTGTTCCAAACCTGTATGGTAAGCCTGTTAGTAACCAATAGGGCTGGGTAAAAAAAAAAAATTGTAATTGATTTGTATTTTTATGAAATTATATTGATTCTTAAATCCCAAGATTTGATTAGTCTAGCCGGTTTACAGTTAATGAACGGAACATTGTAGCGCACCCCCCATCCAATAAATCGCAATAAGCTTTGTTACTGTTGATAGTTGATAGTTGAGTCTTACAATTTTATTTAAATTCAAACAATAAATGCTGTTTTGCCGCTGTTTAATGTGGAGTGACAGATCGCTGTAGCGCCTCAGTCCAGAAGCGGCAGATCTGGTCATCTCCTCCGCTTTAATACAAGTTACAGCACAAACATGAATAAACATCTGAAGGTAAATTAAAGAGTACAATGTACTGAAATCCGTATCCTGTCAAATGTAATCGCTCAATCAGTGTTTCAACCACCGAAAGATGTCAATATAACGGCTTGTAAACAATATGTAGCGTAACATCACATTTACGTGACCATAAACTCGTTAGTCGGGTATAGAGGTCGATCGATTGATCGGGCCGATATTTGGCATTTTTTAATTAATCGGCATCCGCATGTAAACATGTCGTCGGCATGGAAGTTCTTTATTGTGAGTTAAACAGACACAAAGTTTGCAATTTGTAATACAATATTGACTGTTTTTGCTCAAGTTAGCTGACGAAGTTTCAGTCAAAGCCACAGCAGAACTGTTTTGTGTCTCCGAGCAACACAGCGGTGTTTCGATACTGAATGAATCCACGTTTTTGAACAAATCAAGTGAGTCAATGATTCCGTAACCCATTCATATAGACAGTAGTCACTTGCCTCGTTTCTGAATAAATCAGCCGTTTGAACGAATGACTAATGACTCGCTCATTAAAACAGTCATTTACCGTCATCTACTGGTGGTTTGGTTTCATATTTAAAAGTGTTGCATTTTTCCCAACATTTTCATTTACATGTTAAAACTCTCAAAAATTTTCTTCTGGGCGGGGGATGCCCCCAGACCCCCCTACGAGGGTCATATTCCCAACTATGTCACCTTTTTGACCTCTTGTGCCTTCAGTATTATAGTAATGTAGTGCCAACTGAGCATTAGTTGAGATTTTCTTTCCTTGAGGAAAATTTGGTATGTACTGTACCTGTTATATATCCAAAATAATCAATATTGAATCGAATCGATTTGGACATTGAATCAAATCGAATGCTTGAGTCAGAATCGAATCGTGATTCCCAGCCCTAGTAACCAAACAGTTGCTGGTAGCCATTGACTTCCACAGTATTTTGTGGCATACTTTCGAAGTCAGTGGCTACCAGCAACTGTTTGGTTATTAACATTCTTTAAAATATCATCTTTTGAGTTGCACAGAAGAAAGAACCTCATGCAGCTTTGGACGGTCTCTTTAACGTTCGCTCTTCACGCAGGTCGGCGTTCACTACGAGTTATCAGAAGAGGAGAAGTTCTACAGGAACGCTCTGACCAGAATGCCTGACGGTCCGTTTGCGCTGGAAGAAGCTTATAATGCAGTGAAGGAGATCGTCTCCGAGGTGGAGCAGTACGTCAAGGTAGCGTCTTCTCTTAGAGTGAGCGAGTGAAGCGTGTTCAGACGCCAGACTGACTGCGTTTGCTCCGTCAGGTGTGGCTCCAGTACCAGTGTCTGTGGGACATGCAGGCCGAGAACATCTACAACCGTCTGGGAGAAGATCTCAACAAGTGGCAGGCGCTGCTCGTGCAGATCCGCAAAGCTCGAGGCACGTTTGACAACGCAGAAACCAGGAAGGAGTTCGGGCCGGCCGTCATCGACTACGGCAAGGTCAGGAGCGAGCCGCTCATGGTTCAGTCTTAAGGTTTCTCTCCACGAATGATCACGCTGAAGTGTCTTTTAACGTGTCGTTTAGGTCCAGTCCAAGGTGAATCTGAAGTACGACTCGTGGCATAAGGAGGTGCTCAGTAAGTTTGGACAGATGTTGGGCAACAACATGCAGGACTTCCACTCGCAGATCTCCAAGGTGGGCCGAGCTCTCGCTGAAGGGACAGGTCATGTTTGATGCTCAAGCGAATGTTCTGAACTGTTCTGTGATCCTCTTGCAGTCTCGTCAAGAGCTGGAGCAGCATTCGGTGGATACGGCGAGCACCTCTGACGCCGTGACCTTCATCACGTACGTGCAGGCGCTCAAACGCAAGATCAAACAGTTTGAGAAGCAAGTGGACGTGAGTACAATCTGCCTCATACAGAGTCTCAACCCTCTGGTGTTGTTCGGTCGTTTTTGAGCGAATAATTTGTTTTGGATTTTTAGAATTTACTTCCTGGGAATGGTGCGAGACTTGGTAAAAGTTTTGGCACTTCACGGTTAAAAATGATGGCATTGGAAATGAATGGGAAGCTCTTTTTTTGTGATATCAACCTCAAATTTGGAGCACAGTGTGTTTAGATTTATGGCTTTGATTTACGAGTAAAACTCGTTTTGGAAAACATGTATTTCATATAAAATAGTTATTTTATGCATTTTTCATTAAGTTTATTGTTTTTGTGTCTATCTTTTTAACATTTTTACTTCAGCAATAATGTTGCAAGTCTTGTCTTTAAATAGAGATCAAACTTAAGTCAAGATTTACAACCGTTTAAGTAGGAAATTTATTTTTCAGGTCAATGCTCAAAAAGTGGTTAACGGGTCATAAATGTATCATAACTATTCCACAAATTTAATGTAGTGCAATAAAATCCTCTTAAAAATACAAAGTGTTAAATAAAATATATTTACATTTAGTCATTTAGCAGATGCTTTTATCCAAAGCGACTTACAAATGAGGACAATGGAAGCAATCAAAATCAACAAAAGAGCAATGATACGCAAGTGCTATAACAAGCCTCCGTTAGCTTAACACAGCACACAAGGGTTTTTTTATATAATAAAAAGAAAATTAACGCTAGTGTTGGGCCTTTTTAAAAAAAAAAAATAATAATACAAATAAAAAGAGTAGAAAAAGAATAAAGCATGCTAGTGTTAGAGAATAATTTTTTATAATAAGTGTTAGAGGGTCAAGTTTATATACAGTATATATATATATGTATATATATAAGAAAACGAATAGATAAAATAGTCAGAATAGAGAGTGCTAGAGTTAGAGGTTCAAATGAAGATTGAAGAGATGTGTTTTTAGCCGTTTTTAAGACTCAGCAAAATACATTATCATACTAAAATATAGTACATTAATTTCATTGTAATAAAAAAAAAAATCTTTAGCTTTTTTACCGTCACCTGAACAACACCAGAGGGTTAAATACGATTCTGTGGAGAAAATGTAATTGAAGTTATAAAACGAATAAAACAATATTGCGTAAGCGGCATTAAAGTGTCTGGTCCCGTGCAGCTGTTCCGCAACGGCCAGCGTCTGCTGGAGAAGCAGCGGTTCCAGTTCCCTCCCTCCTGGCTGTACATCGATAACATCGAGGGCGAGTGGGGCGCCTTCAGCGACATCATGAAGCGCAAAGACACGGCCATCCAGCAGCAGGTGGCTAACCTCCAGATGAAGATCGTGCAGGAGGACCGCGCGGTGGAGAACCGCACCACGGACCTGCTGTCAGACTGGGAGAAGACCAAACCCGTAGCAGTACGTGTCTGGAGATGAACGCTGTTTTCAGGTCTTTTTCAGCCTCTTTCAGTGTCTGTCTGCTTGTTGTCGCTGCAGGGCAGTCTGCGTCCAGAGGAGGCGCTGCAGTCGCTCACCATCTACGAGGGCAAGTTCGGGCGTCTGAAGGACGACAGAGAGAAGTGTGCGAAGGCCAAAGAGGCGCTGGAGCTGACGGACACGGGTCTGCTGAGCAGCAGCGAGGAGAGAGTGCAGGTGCGCCGCGACTTCACAAGCGTCTCTGTTATGGACCTGTTGATTTCAAAAGCGTTTGTTGCATGTTATCAAGCAGAATGAATGTTTTAAAGAGACACAAACCAACTAACAATCACAGAATTCATCATAAACTGTTCATGTTTGAGTTGCAAGGCAAGTTTATTTATATAGCACATTTCATGCACAATGGTAATTCAAAGTGCTTTACATAAAAAGAATTAAAACAATCATAAAAAAATAATCACCGCAATAAAACAAGGAATTAAAAAACTTAAAATGATTTAAAATGAATTATAAAACGGATTCTTAGCTGTTATAAATTCACTGTAAACCACGGCTTCTTGGGGCTTATTTCTTCAATAAAACAGTTACGAATAAAAATGATTATACATAAAATAGTGCAATCAGTTGGGACGTAGCACAGTGCTCATTCAGTAAATGCACAACTAAACAGATGAGTTTTGAGTCTAGATTTAAATGTGACTAATGTTTTAGCACATCTGATCTCTTCTGGAAGCTGATTCCAGCTGCGGGCGGCATATCTGCTATGTATTTAGGTCCTAGGCCATTGAGTGACTTATGAACGAGTAAAAGTACTTTAAAATCAATCCTGAATGTAACTGGAAGCCAGTGTAAGGAGCTGAGGACTGGTGTGATATGCTCAGATTTTCTGGTTCTAGTCAGAATCCTGGCAGCAGCGTTCTGGATGAGCACCTTAAATTGGTTGTTTTCTGAAATGTTGTTTAAATATGCAAATGATGCATTAATCTAATTAAATATGCAGAAATCTGAACATTGGATAAAGCCAGGTTAAAAATTTAATTTTGTTGAAGTATTAGAGTTAAAGGTTTTTCCAAAGGGGGTTTTGGATTTTTCTTTTTATCGCTACAAAAATCTGAAAATACTGTCAACAGACACAAAACAAATTTCATTTTCACCATGTTTTTAGGAATAAAATGTTGTATAAATCAATGTGAATGACATCTGAATAAACCTTCAGAATATAGAGATGAATAAAACAAAAAAAACTGGTGAATGTAAGAGAAAAACTCTGTAAAGATATGGCTTGAGATTGAAATCTACAGGCGCAAATATATGAAATGCAATTAAATAAACTCTTTTCTCTTCACTTGTCTGAATGAAGACACAATATGAAAGCAAAACAGACCAAAATCACAAAACTGCGCAGTGCATGAAAACACACTGGATTCATTTAGCTCTAGAGTATTTTTGCTTTCAGTTTTCTCACACGTCATTTAGAGATCAAACTGTATGTTGAAGATTCTGCTCTTGTTAACGCGTGTCGTGTCCGTGTTGTTCGTCAGGTGGCTCTGGAGGAGCTGCAGGATCTGAAGGGTGTTTGGTCGGAGCTGTCGAAGGTCTGGGAGCAGATCGATCAGATGAAGGAGCAGCCGTGGGTCTCTGTGCAGCCGCGTAAGGTGAGCGACACATCTGCCGTCTCGTGTGACTCGTACCCGAGCCTGGCTTTCACTGAGTCGGTGTTCTTCTTCTGTACAGCTGCGCCAGAGTCTGGACGCTCTCCTCAACCAGCTGAAGAACTTCCCCGCTCGTCTGCGGCAGTACGCCTCCTACGAGTACGTGCAGAGACTGCTCAAGGGGTACATGAAGGTGAGCCGGTCCTGCGTTACCAGCTGAGGATGCTGGGATAGAGCCGCTGAAACGCCTAAACCGTTCCCTGTGTCCTCTTCAGGTGAACATGCTGGTGATCGAGCTGAAGTCGAGAAGGTGACCAAGTCTCCTCTGGTCATGGACGTCCTGAACATTCAGGGGGTTCAGAGGTCGCTGGAGAGACTCGCTGACCTGCTGGGAAAGATCCAGAAAGCACTGGGAGAATATCTGGAGAGAGAGCGCTCGTCTTTCCCCAGGTCAGACATTTGGGCTTTACGATATCAGCCGTCCAGCATCCATTAAACATGAGAGCCGATGGGAAATCCAAGAAACTTGTTTAGATCTCTCTTAGCCCTTCATATGATGTGTTAAGCATTAATTTAGTGACAAAGAAACTGCTTTCAAAATTGTGCATATTAATAGTTTTTGAAAAATTTGCAGTTTTTGCTGTGCTGTAATAAAAATGACATGTTGGTTGTGTTGTTAAGTTGGTAAAATAACTGCAGGCCGTGCTTCAGTATCCGCACTGTCACGCTTGTCTAAATACTGAAGAATTAGAGTTGTTTCTGTTTCCCGCAGGTTCTACTTTGTTGGTGATGAAGATCTGCTGGAGATCATCGGCAACAGTAAGAATGTGGCCAAACTGCAGAAACACTTCAAGAAAATGTTCGCTGGAGTTTCGAGCATCCTACTGAACGAGGACAACACGGAGGTGCTGGGCATCTCGTCCCGAGAGGGAGAGGAGGTACGGCTTGACCCGAGAGAGACTGGGACCTCCGTTATATGCTTGTTTCAGTCAATGATGCAAACTTGGTTTCAGCTGTGAAGCAGCTCTGCAGAAGACATTAGTGTCGTTATTCAGATCGATTCAGTTCAGATTTTGATCTCTTCTGATAGCGTCAGTGCAGTTAAATCAGTAGTATTACTGAATATTAGTTGTGTTCATGTGTGAATGGGATTGTGGGAAACCTCTGGAATGTGCTGTTGTTTTCAGGTGCTCTATAAGACGCCGGTGTCCATCACGGAGCATCCGAAGATCAACGAGTGGCTGACGCTGGTGGAGCGTGAGATGCGGGTGACGCTGGCTAAGCTGCTGGCCGAGTCCGTCACAGAGGTGGGCGCCTTCAACAAGAGCACGGGCATCGACCTGAGCACCTACATCAACTGGATCGACCGATACCAGGTGACCTGTCCTCTGAGACTAACCCAGCATCTGTACACGTCTTCATGAGTGCTTAACCTCTGTCTCCGCCGCGTCCAGGCCCAGCTGGTGGTTCTGTCCACTCAGATCGACTGGTCTGAGAACGTGGAGAGCGCTCTGACCACCATCGGCGGCGGGGAAGACATGGGTCCGCTGCAGGCCGTGCTGGCCAACGTGAAGGCGACGCTCAACCTGCTGGCCGACACGGTTCTGATGGAGCAGCCGCCGCTGCGCAGGAAGAAGCTGGAGCACCTGGTGAGGAGTCAGACGCTCGTGTGGATGTGTGCGTGTGCTGAGAAACTGTGTGAAACTGGAGATTAATCATGGTGCAAAAAACAGTCATGCCTTTCTTATAGTTTCTGTCCATTACATTTGTTTTCAGGACAGATTATTGACTCGTGTGTGTGAGTGCTCTAACACAAAGCAACAAGCAAAAACCGCAACGCCAGGCTTTCTGTGGGTCTTAAAAATGTCTTCGATCAGAGCAGAAAGTCTTAAAATCAAAAGTCATGGCATTAAATGTTGCATTCACTGCAAAAGAATAATATCTTCCTCTGTATTTGTGTCTTGTTTTCCGGTACAAATATGTAAACATCCTTAAATCAAGATGCATTTACTGGAGACGCAAATTGAACATGAAGTCTTGTTTTCTGAAAAATCTAACAAAATCAAGTTTCTGCTTAAAACAAACAAATATCTGCCAATCTGGTCAGAAAAATAAACTTGTTTTCCCTTTAAATTATTTGGGTTCTCGGAGTTCACCTAGACATTTTCATTTAGAGAAAATATTGATGTACAGTGTTCCCTTCAATTCATTCCTTAAATTGGTCTTTACTTGGTCTTAAAAGGGTCTGTGCAATATAACCATCAAAGATGTCCTTCTGATGCACACATACATACATAGACGCAGATATTTACTCAGAGTTTGAGTTTGTTCAGCATCAGAATGGCGAGTTGAACCGTGAGTCCTGTCTGATCATCTGGAGCTGCAGACGTGTTCGTGACTCGTGTGTTTTTCATTCGCAGATCACGGAGTTGGTGCACCAGAGAGACGTGACCAGAACTCTGATCAAGAACAAGATCGACAACCCCAAGTCTTTCGAGTGGCTCAGCCAGATGCGCTTCTACTTCGACCCCAAGCAGACCGACGTCCTCCAGCAGCTCTCCATTCAGATGGCCAACGCTAAGTTCAACTACGGCTTTGAGTATCTGGGTGTGCAGGAGAAGCTGGTGCAGACGCCGCTGACCGACCGCTGCTACCTGACCATGACGCAGGCGCTGGAGGCCCGTCTGGGAGGATCGCCCTTCGGTCAGTCTCTGCTTTCCTGCTGGACAGGGTTCCACCGGGCCTTAAAGTCTTACATTTAGTTGTATCAAATTTAAGGCCATAAAAAGTCTTAAATTGTGTAATAAAGTCTTAATTATGATTTCAAGAGGTATTAAATGTGTGGACGGAAAGACCAAAATTGCAAAATGGCTTAATGTGACGATTAAACTTCAAAAGGCTATGAAGTCAGCTGCTTTGTGTACTGCCGTTACCGGGGAAACGGTTATATTTTATATTCCATAATTGATAATTCCATCTTTATTTGACCCTCTAACTCTAGCACTCTCTATTCTAATTCTATTCTTTAAAAAAAACACACTTGCCTCTTTTAGACTTGCACTCTATTCATTTACTAACTGCTTGTTTTCTTTAAAAAAAAAAAAAAACTAACACTAGCTTCTCTATTCTTTTTCTATTCTATCTGTTTTCTTTTTATTATATAATTAATAAAAACCTTGCTAAGTGTACTGCGTTAGGCTGACGGAGACTTGTTATAGCACTTGCGTATCATTGCTCTTTTGTTGATTTTGATTGCTTCCGTTGTCCTCATTTGTAAGTCCCTGTGGATAAAAGCGTCTGCTAAATGACTAAATGTAAATATTTCTGCTGTTCTGAAAGCGCCTCCTGCTGGCAGAGAATGAATGTGCATTTTCAGTAAGCCTGTTGTTTTTGTTCAGACCAATGCGAAAATCAACCCTGCAAACACGCAGAGCTGTAAATGTGAACTGGTGGATCAATAAGAAGATTATTATACGAATCTAAACAGTGAAATGCATTTGTTATTTAATTAATATAATGATTGATTGATAATTGTTTAAATTAATATTATAATACTTTTGACTATAATACATTTTCTAACAAATAGTTTAAAGGCTGAAATGTGAAGTGTATCATTTTATAAAACTTTTTGTTTTGGGGAAAACTTGTGTTTTAACTGTAAATCATGCTTTTTACAGTAATTTTACAGTTTTAATATGAGACCGTGGAGCACAAAACCAGTCATAAGGGTCAATATGTTAAATTGGGATTTATAAATAATCTTTCCATTGATGTATGGTTTGCTAGGATAGGACAATATTTGGCTGAGATACAACTATTTGAAAATCTGGAATCTGAGGGTGCAAAAAAATCTAAATATTGAGAAAATCATCTTTAAAGTTGTCCAAATGAAGTTCTTAGCAATGCATATTACTAATCAAAAATTAAGTTTTGATATATTTACGGTAGGAAATTTACAAAATATCTTCATGGAACATGATCTTTACTTAATATCCTAATGATTTTAGGCATAAAAGAAAAGTGTATAATTTTGACCCATACAATGTATTGTTGGCTATTGCTACAAATATACCTGTGCTGCTTATGACTGCTTTTGTGCTGCAGGGTCACAGATGTTATTATAGACCAGTGATCCTCAAATCTGGCTCGCGAGATCCACTTTCCTGCAGAGTTTAGCTCCAACCCTATAATCAAACAAACCTACCTGTGATTTTCTAATGATCCTGAAGACATTGATTAGCAAACTCATGTGTGTTTGATTAGGGTTAGAGATAAACTGCAGGAAAGTGGATCTCGCGAGCCAGATTTGAGGATCCCTGTTATAGACATTGCCCTACCCCGCTCATAGGGAATTAATTTTATTTGCGCAGGTCTTAAGTCTTAAATTTGAGCTTAAAAATCCTCATCGAGCTCATAGATGCACACACGTGAGCTGAATGCATGCAGTGATGATGACGTTCTGGTTCTGTAGGTCCTGCTGGAACGGGGAAGACCGAGTCTGTCAAAGCTCTGGGTCACCAGCTGGGCCGCTTCGTCCTAGCTTATTCCTTAAATTGGTCTTAAAAAGGACTTAAAGTCTTACCTTCGTAAAACCTGTGAAATGCAACGGCCAGAGGCATCCTTCTGATGCACACACATAGACGCAGATATTTACTCCGTATGACGAGCTCTGCAGACGTGGTCGTGACTCGCGTGTTTTTCATTCGTAGATCACTGAGTTGGTGCACCAGAGAGACGTGACCAGAACTCTGATCAAGAACAAGATCGACAACCCCAAGTCTTTCGAGTGGCTCAGCCAGATGCGCTTCTACTTCGACCCCAAGCAGACCGACGTCCTCCAGCAGCTCTCCATTCAGATGGCCAACGCTAAGTTCAACTACGGCTTTGAGTATCTGGGTGTGCAGGAGAAGCTGGTGCAGACGCCGCTGACCGACCGCTGCTACCTGACCATGACTCAGGCGCTGGAGGCCCGTCTGGGAGGATCGCCCTTCGGTCAGTCTCACTTTTCCTGCTGGAGTTGAGCACACAGACGTGTGCGCATGAGCTGAATGTGAAGTGTGTGGTTGCTGACGGGCGTTCTTGTTCTGTAGGTCCTGCTGGAACGGGGAAGACCGAGTCTGTCAAAGCTCTGGGTCACCAGCTGGGCCGCTTCGTCCTGGTCTTCAACTGCGACGAGACCTTTGACTTCCAGGTGCGACTGGTGTCACGGGATTGGTGTCGGGGGTCAATAACAGGTGTTTAATCACAGGGTTTGACGGTGTCTTGTGTTGCAGGCGATGGGTCGCATCTTTGTGGGTCTGTGTCAGGTGGGCGCCTGGGGCTGCTTCGACGAGTTCAACCGTCTGGAGGAGCGCATGCTGTCTGCCGTGTCTCAGCAGGTCCAGTACATCCAGGTGGCGCTGAGAGAACACAGCAACCCCAACCGAGACCGCAGTACGTGCACGATATTAGGGCTGGGAAAATAAGTCGATGCATCACGAATCGAGAAATGATTCAGCATCGATTCTGAGATTTTCCGAATGCATGGCGATTCTTTCTCGAGTGGATTCTGAGCTTAGTTGTGAACAGCAGATGGTGCTGCATGCTTCAGAAACAGCCAAATCCTTACACACACTTGAACCTAAAATAATCATTCATACAATTCATAAAGGTTGAAGTGAATCACAAGGGTGTTCACAGTGGGCTGTTTTTAATCATTAATCTGGTGTCATAAAAGCATTCTGAGCCGAGGTGAAATTACAGACTCAGCCGAACGCACAAGCGCTCTTCAGCTCTTCTTCATGAGTGTTTGAGTGTGCGGATAAACTAGAGTAGAGCGCCATCTGCTGTTAAAATATAAGCTCAGAATCCATTCCAGAGAGAATTGCGATGCATTCGGAAGATCTCAGAATCGATTCTGCATCGATTTATCATTGCAGCCCTTCATGATATAGATCAGAACATCATCATCGACTCAGAACTGAAACAGATGATGATCAGCGTGGCTGTGCTCTTCTGTGTTCAGGTGTGCCCGTCACCACAGAGCTGCTGAACAAACAGGTGAAGGTGAGTGCTGAGATGGCCATCTTCATCACCATGAACCCCGGTTACGCCGGACGCTCCAACCTGCCCGATAACCTCAAGAAGCTCTTCAGGAGTCTGGCCATGACCAAACCGGACCGGCAGCTGATCGCTCAGGTCATGCTGTACTCGCAGGGCTTCCGCACCGCTGAGATCCTCGCCAAGAAGATCGTCCCGTTCTTCAAGTGCGTCTGCGTCTGCTTCAGCTGTTGTTGTGCATGTGTGAAGTGGTAACGTAACCCTGCTTTGGTCTGTGGTTGCAGGTTGTGTGACGAGCAGCTGTCGTCTCAGTCTCACTATGACTTCGGTCTGCGAGCGCTCAAGAGCGTGCTGATCAGCGCCGGGAACGTCAAGAGAGAACGCATCCAGAAGATCAAGAGAGAGAAGCGTGAGCGCGGCGAGGACGTGGATGAGAACGAGATCGCAGAGAACCTTCCGGAGCAGGAGGTGAGATGAGCGAACAGAAGCAGGCCGAGCCTGAAACCGAAGGCTGTTGTACTGCTGTAATGTGACGCGTTTCCAAATCAAGAGCATGAGAGCTGATCGGTTAATCGTGTCTGCATTACAGGAGATACTGAAAGAATAAAAGTGCTTCAAGTCATTTATTTCTATTGCTCTTTTCACAAAACACTTCGTTTCAAAACATTCTTGTGTAAAATCATGTTAATGTTTTAAGTTGAATGTAGCAGTTTAGAGCTGAACAATAATATAAATTTTGAAACGATACAAATAATCAAGCAGTTGAGATTTGTTATATAGTTTTAATTGCTTTACATGAATATACTGTATGTATGTGGATGGAACCGGGACATATATCCAATTATTTATTAATTTTTTTTCTTTTTCTCAATGATCAAGTTAAGTTTGGTGACAAATTCAGACTTCGGTAGAAATGTTGTTATTTCTTGGAATCTTATTATCATTTTGATGAATGCTTATGAACTGGTGCACTGGTAAGTCTTTCATGATTAGTCCAGGAACATGAATGAAGGAAATAGAGTGCGGTTTGATGTCATGTTGAGTCACGTGAGTTTGAAGAGTGAACCCAGCGCTGGTTATTATTGTGGTGATCTCTGACCGCACTTCATGCGCTCGATCCGCAGATTCTGATCCAGAGCGTGTGTGAGACCATGGTGCCGAAGCTGGTGGCCGAGGACATCCCGCTGCTCTTCAGCCTGCTCTCTGACGTGTTCCCCGGCATCCAGTACATCCGCGGAGAGATGACGGCGCTGCGAGAGGAGTTGAGGAAGGTCTGTGCTGAGATGTACCTCACGTACGGAGACGGAGACGACGTGGGCAGCATGTGGGTGGAGAAGGTAAGACGCGCTTCATAGTACAGCACACACAGAGAGCCATGAGTCCTGACCCGTTCCCTGCTCTTCTCCTCAGGTGCTGCAGCTCTATCAGATCACGCAGATCAATCACGGGCTGATGATGGTCGGTCCGTCCGGCAGCGGGAAGACCATGGCCTGGAGAGTCCTGCTCAAAGCCCTGGAGAGGCTGGAGGGTTTGGAGGGCGTCGCTCACATCATCGACCCCAAAGCCATCAGCAAAGACCACCTGTACGGCACGCTGGACCCCAACACTCGCGAGTGGACCGACGGGCTCTTCACACACGTGCTCAGAAAGTGAGTCCTCGTCTGTCTTCACTGCTCTGATCGTCATTTTGGGTTTGTTCTGATGTCTGTGTGTGCGCTCTCGTTCAGGATCATCGATAACGTTCGCGGAGAGCTGCAGAAGCGGCAGTGGATCATCTTCGACGGTGACGTGGATCCGGAGTGGGTGGAGAATCTGAACTCTGTGCTGGACGACAACAAACTCCTGACTCTTCCCAACGGAGAGCGTCTCAGCCTGCCGCCCAACGTACGGAGCAGCTGATCTGACCATCAGGGCCTGTATTCACAAAACATCTTCAGGAGAAAAGTAGCTCATCGCAGATTTAGGAGAAAATCTTAAAAATAATGGGCGTGTCAGTCCTAAATTTAGGACTTCTAGATTTTAGCTCTAAGAGTGTTTCACAAAGTGCTTCAGCGCTAAAACTAGCTCCTAAATCTGTGAAACGTTAGGAGAAGTGAACAGGAGTCCTAAGCCACAAACTATCCTAAAATAGCTGCTGCCCGCAATCTGCCTCGGAACGTAAACATTTTAGAAACGTTTGACGATAACGAGCTTTTAAAAAGGCATCACCTTTGGTTTTGGAGGTTATCACAACTCCATATTTTCCTTTGATTATATCCTTGTTTTCATTAAGCAGCTGGACAAGAAGTAACAGCTGTTCTTTTAGCGGTTTTACGTTTGCATGTCTTACGATCAGCCATGATTATTCTACTATGTTTATTAAAAGGCTGTTTATATGCATATTCACTAATTGTTTGAGAAGCACACATGTAAGAGGCCGACACTTAGCTGAACATATACTTGTTTAATTAGTGACACTTAGCCTGCATCTTAATATCTTTATTTGAATGTGTCAATAAACATTTTTATTTTTAAACCTTTATTTATTTGTGTTCTACAATATTTCTATGAATGAATCTCTGACGAGACTATCAGCCAATCACTGTGTGCATAGTTAATAAGCATGCTGACATCACCCATAGCAACGAGCTCAGCCCCGCCCCCTTACTCTGAGCTTAAGACTTCTCTCTATTCCTTAAGTTTGTCTCAGCAGCTTTGTGAATAGCTTTTAAGAGAAAACTCCTAGCTTAAAAACTTTTACTGCTATTTAGGAGAACTCTTAGTGGTAAGACCAAATGTTTTGTGAATACGGGCCCAGGTCTGTAGTGCATGCTGATGATGATGATGATGATGATGCTCTCGTCACACAGGTGCGCATCATGTTTGAGGTGCAGGACCTGAAGTACGCCACGCTGGCCACCGTGTCTCGCTGCGGGATGGTCTGGTTCAGCGAGGACGTTCTCAGCACAGACATGATCTTCAACAACTTCGTGGCGCGTCTGCGGAGCATCCCGCTGGATGAGGGAGAGGATGAGGCCCAGCGCATGAGGAAGGCCACGGAGGACGAGGGCGAGGAGGCCGCCTCACCTATGCTGCAGGTACTCTAGCGTGCAAAACTATGTAAACTGATCTAAATATCAGTGGTCGCTCTATATCTCCAGTAATCTGTCTCAGATGAGATTGAAATGCTCCAAACATATAATGCAGTGATTGAGAGCTGAAGAAATAAAGGCTCCTCAGAAGATGTGAGATGTTCTGGAGGCTTGTGAAGATCATTCCTCCGCTGAGGAACAGTGAAAGTAAAGCTTCTGGAAACAAACGCTCCTCAAAAGATCCTGAGGATCAGATTTGAGACTCTAAAACATGATTGATGGAGAATCAAGTAAAGCTGAGCTGCTTCAGTCCAGTAAGAGTTCATCTGGAGATATTACTGCAGTTATTCTGACCTTTACTTGATAAAAATCAGTCAAGATTTGAC